CCTGTGTGAATCGATGTCAGTATGGATAAGTCTTCGACGATAAAACTGTGAGTCTCACGTGGTATCAACTGATTTACCATCTTTAATGGCGCAAATAGAAGCACCGCTTCCGATATGCATTGCAATGATATTGGTCTTGTCAGCAGGCTTGTTCAGAAACTCGGCTACGGAGCGTAGAATGAACGAATAGCTGATTCCATGGAAGCCATATTTCCGAAGCCCGTTGGACTTGGCTATCTTTTGGTCGATGGGGTAGGTCTTGACGTGTTCGGGGAGGGTTTGATGGAACGCCGAGTCAAAGAAGGTGATGCTCCTGACGGATGGAATCTCCTTCCTGCAATGCCGGATAATTTCCAAGGCGGAGTAATTGTGTAATGGAGCTAGGTCTTCCAATTTTTCAAGGTGATGATAGGTTTCGTCAGTGATTACAACAGACGTTTCGTAGTCTCCACCGTGCACCACACGGTGGCAGATATAGGCTAGATCGTCTGTGCTGGCGACTTCGGAAAGCTCGGGATCAGAGATGCAGCGCTGGAGCAGGAATTTGAAGGCATCTTGAGGAGTACTGATGCTTTCCTTGAGTTCCTCTTTGTGTTGCTTGTCGCCACTGGTGTATTTCAGCTTTGCTGGTGGGGCGGTGATACCAGAGACCTGAGCTGCAGCAATGACCTTGGGAGTCTTCTCGTAGGTATAGAAGGTAAGCTTGACCGAAGAGGATCCCGCATTGACGGAGAGGATGGATTTGCGCGCCATTTTGTTGCAGAGCAATTGGGTACGGGGACTCGATAAGTTGGTGTGCTAACTGCTAGAGAAAAAGAGATCAAATTATAGCCTTTCTGGATCCCTGTCAGGTCATGATCTCGGAAGTCGTGGGTTGATGCTTGTTGGTGGTGGCAGCTCAATTCCCGGTTGCGACGGCGGGTGATGTCACTCCCCGGGTGACGTATTGCCAGGGGTCTTCGGAGAACAACTTCACCACCTCGCTTCCCTGCTCTTATTTGAATCAATGCAGAGACAGTGGTGTGATCTTCTTTTTCTTCTATTCTCTTTGGCAGTTGCAGAAACTGGGCTGGACTCTCTTGTTTCCACGTGCTATTAGATCTAACCCCTCCATAGACCCTGGATCTCGAACGGACCCTGATACTTAGTTCCACGGATTTACTACCTTTTGTTTTACCGATTGACCAATCTACATCTATCAACTCATCATGCCTGGAGAGGTCATCGACAGGCCGAATCCCAAGGCCGAGCCTTCACACATTCCCGATCTTGTCAATCAATTGCAGGTCAAACTTCAAGAGACGAGTTTGGAGGAAACTGATTACAATGCCCTGCTGAAATTCCGCCGTGCAGCGGCCTACATCGCTGCTGGTGAGATCGAGGGTCCCTAGCTACTCGGCCTACATTCACTAATTAGTTGCAAGCAATGATCTTTCTCCAAGACAATGTGCTGCTGAAGCAGAATCTAAAGCATGAGGACATCAAGCCCAGGCTTCTTGGTTAGTATAGCCAGTCTCTCGTTGCTGTCCTCAGCGCAAGCTCCGCTCACATATCTACAGGCCACTGGGGAACATGTCCCGGGTTGATTCTTGTATACTCTCACTTGAACTACATCATCAGAAAGCATAATCTGGATATGTTGTATGTCGTCGGGCCCGGCCACGGCGCGCCAGCTATTTTGGCCTCACTGTGGCTTGAGGGCTCTTTAGAGAAATTTTACCCCCACTACTCACGAGACATGGATGGTCTCCATGAGCTCATCTCGACCTTCAGCACAAGTGCTGGACTACCAAGGTATGACTGTTGTTGTGAATCTGGTTGAAGCCAAGCTAACTTCTTCAAGCCATATCAATGCGGAAACTCCCGGTGCGATCCATGAAGGTGGTGAACTGGGTTATGCGCTGGCTGTCTCTTTTGGTGCTGTTATGGACAATCCCGACATGATCGTCACCTGCGTGGTTGGTGACGGGGAAGCAGAAACCGGTCCTACCGCGACGTAAGCACCTAAACAATACTCCCCATTCGAGCACGATCTGACAGCAGACAGGTCCTGGCATGCAATCAAGTACATTGACCCCGCAGAATCAGGTGCCGTCCTGCCGATTCTCCACGTTAATGGCTTTAAGATCAGCGAGCGCACCATCTATGGCTGCATGGACAACAAAGAGTTGGTCTCCCTCTTCACTGGTTATGGATACCAGGTGCGCATTGTTGAGAACCTGGATGACATCGACGCAGATCTCCATAGCTCTATGATGTGGGCAGTTGAGGAGATCCACAAGATCCAAAAAGCGGCGCGTTCCGGCAAGCCAATAATGAAGCCTAGATGGCCAATGATTGTTTTGCGCACACCGAAGGTATGATTATATCCGCCCCGACCTTAGATTTCTGTTAACTTTGTTGAAGGGCTGGTCAGGACCTAAAGAGCTCCACGGGTCATTCATAGAGGGATCTTTCCACTCACATCAGGTTCCTCTACCTAATGCAAAGAAGGATAAAGAGGAGCTTCAAGCTCTGCAGAAATGGCTGTCCTCGTATAATCCGCACGAACTTTTCACTGAGACGGGAGACATCATTGACGACATCAAGTCAGTGATCCCTCTGGAAGACACCAAGAAGCTTGGGCAGCGAGCAGAAGCCTACAAGGGCTATAGGGCACCCGATCTTCCAGACTGGCGCAAGTTTGGCGTAGAAAAGGGCTCCCAGCAGAGCGCTATGAAAACAATTGGAAAGTTCATTGACCAAGTGCTTACCCAAAATCCTCATGGCGTCCGTGTATTTTCGCCAGACGAGCTAGAGAGCAACAAGCTGGATGCAGCACTGGCGCACACGGGAAGGAACTTTCAGTGGGATCAATTCTCGAATGCTAAAGGCGGCCGCGTCATCGAAGTGCTCAGTGAGCACCTGTGCCAGGGCTTTATGCAGGGATACACGTTGACGGGCCGGGTGGGCATTTTCCCATCGTACGAAAGCTTCTTGGGAATCATCCATACCATGATGGTGCAATATGCCAAATTCAACAAAATGGTATGTTTCTGCTGTGCTTCTCCCTGCATCTCCCAAGACTAACGGATGCTGCCATTACAGGCTCAAGAGACGACCTGGCATAAGCCGGTTAGTAGCATCAACTATATCGAAACGAGTACGTGGGCTCGTCAGGAGCACAATGGATTCTCTCACCAGAACCCCTCCTTTATCGGAGCTGTGCTCAGGCTGAAGCCCACCGCCGCGCGAGTTTATCTGCCACCTGATGCTAACACATTTTTGACCACCCTTCACCACTGTCTCAAGTCGAAAAATTACGTCAACCTCATGGTAGGTTCAAAGCAGCCAACTCCCGTGTACTTGAGCCCCGAGGAAGCAGAGAGCCACTGCCGAGCCGGCGCATCGATCTGGAGATTCTGTAGTACCGACAATGGGCTGAACCCGGATGTCGTGCTGGTTGGCATTGGAGTAGAGGTGATGTTCGAGGTCATCTACGCGGCGGCCATCCTCCGCAAGCGTTGTCCAGAACTCCGGGTGCGTGTGGTCAATGTGACCGACTTGATGATTCTGGAGAAGGAAGGTCTACATCCACATGCATTGACGACCGAAGCTTTCGACAGTCTGTTTGGCTCGGACCGGCCGATACACTTCAACTACCACGGATACCCGGGCGAGCTCAAAGGTCTGCTCTTTGGGCGGCCCCGCCTGGACCGAGTTTCAGTAGAAGGATACATGGAGGAAGGAAGCACGACGACGCCGTTCGATATGATGTTGCTGAACCGCGTCTCACGATACCACGTGGCGCAGGCAGCCGTGATCGGGGCGTCCAGACGGAATGAGAAGGTTCAAGTTCGGCAGCACGAACTGGTCAGCGAATTCGGCCACAACATCGTGGAGACACGCAAATACATTCTGGCCAACCGCAAAGGTAAGTAGCTTCACCTGCCGTGGACCAGTCGAATGATGCTCATGCTGACGGTGCACAGACCCGGATGATACGTATGATATGCCCTCCTTTGAATAAGGATAGCGAATGAGTAAAGTCAAGAAGATGATCTAAGCGTGAAGCACTCAAAAGACATGAACTATTATTAGCGTTAGGGAAGAACGAATTTCAAACTGTCTGTCTTTCTCCAGTTTCTGGGGGCGCCATGTCGATTGAGCAGGAATAATAGTAACGTAGCCATAGCATACGGCCGTAGAGATTTTGACACCTAGGTTCTCACGGAAGGGGCTAGACTCGATGTGAGTGATCCTGAGTCTTGCTGTGACGTGCCAAATACTGTGATTAGTATGCGCAAGGCTGAACCCTGGCGGTTGAAGGCTGCGTGGGGGAAAGTGAGATATAAAAAAAGAGAGAGAGAGAGAGAGAGAGAGAGTCAATAGGATGTGTAAGTATTGATTTGATGCCTGAGGCGGGCAGCGGGGTTCCGCTGGAGTCGCGCCTTCCGTATTTGGTTCTTGCCGTTGCAGGAAGGTTCTCCGCCCTTCCCTGCATGTGACTCCCGATCAATTAGTCTGTCGCTTGCATTTCATTTCATATGTTCAATTTGCTCTCCCTGCCTGGAGTTGATGGTGGTGATGGTGATGATGATGATGATGATGATGATGATGATGATGACGACCATTTCCCACCCCATCGTGTCTGTTTGAGGCCTAGCTTCAGGTTCCCATTGATGTTCAGCACCTAACATCGGGCCTAATTATAGTCCCGATCCCGTCCCAGAACTTATCACGGTTCCTTATTGCTGGTGGACGGACGGACTCCCGGGACCATGTTTCCCGATCGGTCTTGGCCATGCATCACTGCCTGGGCTGCATGGCATATATTGATTCGAGTCCAGCAATGACACGGCATAACGGTCCTAAACACAATCCTTGACAGTTAAGGGTCCTATCAGATGAGCTGCCTTATGGCGACAACAGGATGATCGTCTTAGGGAGGTGTCTGTTCAAATTCTATCGCGAAACCGACTGATGGAGAATGGCCGGAGTTACCGGCTTCATGCGAGACGCACTAAACCTCTTTGAGCGAACCTTGCGAGGAATCATCTCGTCCCCCAACTCTTTTTTGGGTCTCGCCAGTCTATTAGCCGAATGAAGTGCTTGCTTTTGCAAGGCAGGCCCTGAGAACCCCCATGAGGTTCAATCAGATTGCTCCCTGCAACGGGTGTCTCCGCTGTTCCAGGTGGCGCCCAGAGACGGGCAGTCAGGAGGATGGGGATCACTATTGAACGGACGAGAATAGAGTAATGGGGCAGAGTTTGGAAGAATCTCTTATCACAGTTCTTCCTTTTTTTCTTCTTCTTTATAGGCACAGCCTCTTCCTTCCTGGTGCCCTGTTTTCCCTTTTCTTTTCGCCGATTGGTACCCCGTGCATATTCATGAGCATATATCTATGTCCAACAGCAAATAGCTCAACCCCTCTTTAAGCTCGATTAGCGCTCAGCCTGCCTCTTCGGTGTCATTCGTTCTCTAATTCCTAATCGTACATTATATCTGCAGCGTGCTTCTCTGCCTCAAAATCGCCTTCTCTCCTTACTCTATCCACAGACGCACTTGACCTCCTCATATATTCCTCGACATACTGGGTCTCGACCACCCCGGCCTTCCATTTGCGCCAATATGTCGGGCCTTAATACTACTGCAGAATATGAATTCAAGAAACAATTGACCTATGGCTGCCATGCAAAGATCGATGGCTACGGCACCTCATATGGCTACGTCCCCTCGCTGGCTGCGGGCATTGTATTTTGTGTCCTCTTCGGTCTGTCGATGTTGCTCCATACATTGCAGCTGGTGTGGAAGAGGACCTGGTGGTGCTCTGTCTTCGTTCTTGGATGTATCAGTATGTGAACCCCTCCTGCAAGAGTCCTTTCCAACCATACGCTAACACAACCATTACAGCGGAGGTCCTGGGCTGGGCAGCACGTACCTGGTCTGCTGAATGTCCATACAATGGAACCGCCTTTCTCATGCAAATCTCTACCTTGATCATCGGTACGCGAGCAGGACCACGCATATCAAATTCATGAAACAGATACTAATTTTCTCTCTTTAGCCCCCACTTTCTTTACCGCCGGGATCTACGTGCTCCTGGGCCGTTTCATCCACCTGTTGGGGCCCGAGACCTCAATTTTGAGTCCGAAACTCTATCTCTGGATTTTCGTCACCTGCGATATCATCTCATTGGTTGTCCAGGCTGTGGGTGGTGGCATGGCGTCGATGGAAGTCAACAAGGTCAACGGCGATACTGCTCCAGGCACGCACACCATGGTCGCCGGTATCGTGTTCCAGCTGGCGTCTATCACGGTCTTTGTTTTCCTCGCCGCTGATTTCGTCCGTCGCACTCTCCGTATGCGGATCTTGCAAACCATGACCGGCACGATCATCCCTCTTCTCGGTGCGATGATCTTCTCTGTCCTCTGCATCTACATCCGGAGTATTTATCGAACCATCGAGCTGTCGCAGGGGTGGTCTGGCTACTTGATCACGCACGAACGGTACTTCATTGTCCTGGACGGCATTATGATGGTCTTAGCTGTGGGTGTGTTTAACATCTTCCATCCAGGATGGCTGCTACCTAAGAATGAGGTCAAGCCGTTCCACCGCGAGATCTACTCTCCTGACGGGGTAGCCAGTGGAATGGAGATGCGGTAACTTTGTCGCTTCTCATTATTCCTACTTTCAAACTCCAGACATTTATACTTCAATCTGACCCCATTTCTCCATGAGAAAGCAAGTCCACGTGCCTTGCCCCTGGTCTCTAATATGCCAACGCAGCGTTTTTAAAAAGTCGATAGATGCATTGGAGTGTGGCATTGTGTAATTAGCTTTTCCTTTCCAACTTTAATGAACTAGATGATTCCCCCTGCTCAGCACCATGGAAATCCATCAACTATAATTAATCATTGAACCAACGGTATACTTGACAATCATAATAATCATGACCAAGTAATAAACAAGTATTCATTCAAAGCATAACATCGTTAACATTTCCTCCTAAAATGCAGACCAGACACACCATCGCACCAAATAAATCACCTCAATTCCTGGATCAACAAACCTCAAAAATAAGACCATGACCACACACACCCGCTGAAACACATCAACTTGAAACACGCCGCCGAAACACTGACCCCAATAGATAGACTACCCTGTCCCTGTTCCTGACCCTGATCCTGATACTCAGACCAAACCTTAATTTTTTCTTCTCTTCTCAATTTCCACATCCCTGTTCCTGGTTCCACCTTTTTGTGTTTTCTTTCTTTCTTTCTTTTGTTTCGCAAAACGCCACGGCTAGAATTGAAATGGACTAAGCAAACAACGAATAATAAACAGCAACCGAGAAGCGACAAAAGCAGGGGTGTTAAGTAGCTAGCTGGTTGGTTGGCTTTCGGAGAAATAACTAACTGACTGGCTAACTGACAGCGGGAAAATAACCGGAAGGAAGATCTTGTTCTTGCTCACATGTTCAGCTCGCATTGAACATCCCAGTGAACCGGAAGAAATGGACCAAAAGAAAGGGAAAGTATGGGAAACAAGAAAAGAGTCAGCAGGAAGAAATTAACACCAACTAACATGTTAAATCAGTCAGAAAAGAACTAATTTTCCTCAACCTGTTGATGCATGAATCGATGGAACTATACTCCATCCACGGCCTCAATCCATCCAAACATCGCGCCCGTAACACCCGCCGCGATAGCCCACACCGCACCCCAGACCATTGCGCCCTCGGCGTCCACCTGGTTCACTGTCCCTGCGACCTGCACGACTGTGTTCGCGAACAACATGCTTGCCAGCAGGACTGTGCGGGAGACTAGCACTTGCGTCTTGCGGGACAGGGTGCCCCATGTTTTGCGGTAGACGGTGTAGGCCAGGTACTCGCCTTCGGGGCTGGATGTCCCCTCCTTGTTTTTGTTGTTGCTATTCTTCTTGGAGTTTCTGGAGGATGCACCCGTTGAGCTGGCGAAGAGGAAATCGCGCGCCGCCAAGCCAGCGGGAAGGAGGGAAAGGAATAGGCCCGGGAGAGCGGCGGGACCGGCATGGATGGCGGTGACGTCGGGGATGTCTTGGAAGTGGGTGACGAGGGTGGTGGGGAGCCAGGGCGTGGCGTAGCTGAGGGAGAGAGTAACGGTGAAGATGGCAGCCGCGGCGATGGTGGTATAGATGGTTGTCGGGCGGTCGTTGAGGATGGAGCGGTTAGGGATGCGCGTGGAATCCGAGAAGGAGTGGAGAGGGGTGAGGTTGCGGAGGAGGACGAAGGGCAGAGTGGTGGAGAGGAGAGTAATGAAGTAGCTGGTAAGGATCGTGGTTGGGCGCAGGCTGTAGAAGGTCGAAAGGAGGCTGAAGGTGGGTAGGTGGGTGAGGTAGGTGAAGGAGAGGACGTCGCGGCCTTGATATCAATGTATTAGTTTTCGCTAATGATTATATGGGGTTTAAACGGGGATGAAGGAATACCGTCAAAGCCCATGATCCAGGCAAGTCCGACCTCGACGGCCTTCCAGGCCATCAGACCTCCTACTTCCCACCATGTCTCGAGGTGTTTGCTCACACGGCCTAGTTCGCCGAGTGTGATCCCCGTCGTCAGGGAGAAAAGCGTCGAGCTCAATGCCAAGCTGCCGAACACGGCGAGGATGAAGCGCACGGCGGGGTGGATGCGGTCCAGGCGCGTCTTGTGACGCAGTTGGCGCGTCGTCTTCTCGGCGGTGTCATCGTCGGCTGCTGTTACCGCGGAGAGGACTTCTTTCTTGCGGGGAGCCATTGTTTTGTTAGTGGGTGGGATTGTTTAGGGGATATATGAATTGATGGTGTGATGGACAGGGTCGGAGGGATCAGGAAGAGGGGAGAAAGAGAAGAGGGGAGGAAAGCGAGGAGAGGAAAAATGACAGCAACGAAATAAAGATGAGGCTGGGATGATGCGATGGCCAGAATGAGCTGCCGGGCGGTGAGAGGCACTCTGGCCATGATGTCACCGGTGACGATGCCCCCCAAAGGAATCCCAAAGACCCAAGAAATAGAGGTAGTCAGTTGGTATTCTATAAGACAATCGTAAGTGGCTTTGAATCGAATCTTTTAAATACATGGGTCAGCCAAGCCACCTTCCCACCATGTGGCACATGTAGTAGTAGTACACTCAGAGATTTCCTCCGAGATCAACTTAATCTCAGAGAACCTCCATCTTCTTATACATCGTACAGGCGCACCAGGCCGTACCTGGTCTTCAGTTATCCTCCTTTTCCTCTTCTTTCTCCATAACGGAAAACTCTGCCGCACCCTGCTCACGACCCTTGTGGTCCCGCATGACCAGTTGATACTTGCCCTGGTTCCAGAGGTCTTTGATCGTCAGCTCCCGAGTACGTCCCAAGCTCTCAATATCTCCAATGCGTGTAAGAGTGCCTTCCAGGTGTTCGTCGAATCCTGGCCAGCCACAGATCTCCTTGAATGCATTCTGCATAGGCACCGAATCCGCACGCACCATGGCCCGCGAGTCGATTGTGAAGATGTTCTCGTGGTCGTAGCTCTGGATGAAGTCCGCGCGCGTCATGATCTGTCGCGCTTCATGGAGAGGAATCTCTGGGAGAATGTGGCCCAGCTTCGGATCATACGTCCTATCCATTTCCTCTCCTTTGTCCACAAGTGCTTTCGCCAGCACCATTGCCGCAGACTACATCTCGGTCAGAGCGCCGGTCTTTTGTCATCGCCAGAGGTTGCACTTACAGCATACTTCTGCTGGTCCATCACATCGTCGTCCATCTCAGGTCCCAGGATCCAGCACTTGTTGAGGAACCACGTCTTCTCGGCCTCGCAGATGCTCTCACAGAGCTTCTTGTAGTCTAGGGCCTTGGCAACTCGGTTGAGGTAGGACAATCGTCCGCCGACGAGATTGTACACCTCCTCAAGTTCCTCGTGGGTTAATTCCTGGCCAAAGTACTGCTTGCGGTACTTCCTCAGGGCTTCCATTGCTCGATCCTTAGGAAGATCCCGCACGGGGATGACCTCCATTCTGGTAGCGTACTTCTTCAGGCGTTCATAGACCCAGTACTCGTCGCTGTTCAGGACTATTTCCGTCAATATTCAAATATAGATGTATGGATCTGTAATAAAGCTTACCTGTTGTCACCAGACCACTTGCAGCCCACTGTTCGGCCCGTTGCTGGATCGCCTCAAGCAGATCCTGGCCATCGTGATCGTCTCGGATCAGGTGCGCGCTGTTAATTATCAAGACCAAAGGCGACTTCTTGCTGCGTCTTCTGGCAAGAGCAACCTTTTCCAATTTGTTGAAAGCGCGTTCAATATCAAGGAGAGCGGTAGTATCCCGAGGGCCCTTGATACTGAAAAGACTGCCGATGTAGCTGTTCAAGTGGCGTCAGCAACCTGATGCACACATGAGAGAATAAAATTGTAGTAGGCCTACTCTTCGTGGAACTCATAGTCCAAAGCCTTTCCCAGACGGATCCGGAAAAGCTCGAGATCAGCATGGGCTTCGAACATGGCACAACCCTCGCCATCAATCTTGCGCATCGCCTCTAGAAGCATCGACGTCTTTCCGGTTCCCTTTTCGCCCACGAGCAGGTAATACCGACCACCAGCATTACCGGAGATGATTCTATCCATTCTGGCTTGCTCATCGCGATGCACCCAATGCTCCTCGTAGGTAGACTGGTGCTTTCCGTCTTCCACACCGGCCAGCTCGAGAGCCGGATCACCCGGTTTGAAGGCATTTTCCATCTTCTCCAAGATAAGATACTTGTAGTACCGATGGTACGCGTATCCAACCATACTAGCAGGCATTAGCATGAAGAAAAGATCATTGAAAAAAAAAATAAAATATCAGGATAGCTTACCCGAGAACAGCCATCGAAGCAAGAGTAGTAGCCGCAGACTCCCCCATCTTCAGCAACGTCGATCGCAGAGTAGGTTCATCTTCCGAGTCGTCATTCCTCCGCCTTTTACCTTCCTTTGTGGCATTTTGTTCGGAAGAGGAGGAATCTGTATTTCTCCGAATCTGGCACTGTGAGAATCCCCGTCGATAGGCGGGGGTTGTTATGCGGGTAGCAGTAGTTGTGGTGGTTGTTGTCCTGGGAGGCGTCCGCAGGCCAACCCAAGAGAAAGAGATCACGGATCGTTGAACATTGCGATACAACATGGTTCTCTGCGCTGGGTATCGGATACCCCTGCTGATTTCCCGGATAATAATCCCGAGGGAGATAGATGATCACCCTATAATATCAAACAACGGGTGTATGTATATATGAAGAATTGAGATCGAATGAAATTGATAAAGGAGTGTGTGGAACTTTTTAAAAGGGCGGAGATGGGTCCGGCACAGAACTGAGACACACCACTCTATCTATACATCGAGAGAACCGCTGTTTCAAGATAGAGTCGAATCCTAACAGCAACAAGGCTCCCAATGGCAGACAATTGGGCAGAGAGAAGGTGCGGGAAAGACAGAAGCAGCGACAAATGAAGGAATAATGAATGAAAGAAGGCCAGCGCACGGTGAGAAAAAGAGGTGAGTTGGGATCGGGCCCGAATCAGTACTGCTACCAAAAGTCGGTACTACTCGCCCAGATCGGATTGGCGTGGATTTACTCCGCTGCTGCGCCTCGCATCCGGGCCCACCTTGTGGCTGATCATTATTCAGATCTATTAAGTATGAGGCAGATGTGGATTATTGCAGAGCAGGCCGGGTGGGTGAAGCATAGAAACAACAGGCTTGCCTCATATTGCATTATTTGTCTAAGATCTAGACTTGCAGATGTTTTGTCTCGACGAATTTCATTTCCCCAGTTTGTCTCACGTGACCTACCTTCAATGCATATTCGATGCTATCGCGGCCATGAGATTATCCGTGGCTCATCACATGCCCCCTTATACTACTACATTATCGGTATCTAATCATTACTCTAAAGTAGTCGAAGCAGGCAGGATAGTCGATGACCAACTGCTTTGATTCCCGAGACAATTCGTCCACATCGCCTTGAATCGCTGTACAAGGGCATTATTAGTCAATCAATCACGTTTTCCTACAATTTATCTATTGTAAGTTATAACTTCATGGTTGAGATTAATTGGACCAATGTTATGAATAGCTACTAGTCCACCAACCTTGTACGGATGCATCAGGAAATTGAAAAAAAAAAAAAAAAAAAAAATGCCAAAGTATAAGCGAGCCAATGTTACCCGATATGATCCCCAGGCCAACACCGTTACTTTATGGGATACTTCTCTCCTATTTGGTTCTTCAGTGGTAACGGCGTTACTCGGGGCCGCACTAATCAAACTAATGAGGATGTTAATCTAACCCGTTGCTAGTAGCATCCTCAACAATATGCTGAATGATTTGCTAAACAAGTGTCAACCCCGCTCTCGGTTCATGCCTTCATCCGTCCTGTCAGTGGGCATCCGCGGCCAGTTATAGGTACTCCTCTTAGGCTGCGGGCATAATTTAATCTCGATAGAGGCTTCATGTGGTCAACGAAGTTATCCTTACAGGACGGGAAACTCATGCGTTGTTCATGGCGGGGTACCCAAGGATAAGCGAAGACTCAGCCAGCCAATCTGGCCAGGACAGGTAGTCGAGGGTTTTACTGAATCATGAGGTGCACGAAGCTTCCTCTGCAAGTACATTTAGTTGGCTTATTCCACACGGTCGGCATATACCAACGGCTTCTGAAACGCACCATTATCGGCACACCAGGCTCATACGGATTCGGTAGGCGTTCCACCTACTGCATCATTGACGCTGGAGGATGTGGACGGCTGTGCTGCATGTGTAGAGTGCTCATAAACCACACTACGTGACCTTCATCCCGTCAAGTGAACCAAAAGAAGTACTACTATTCTCAACCATGCCCGTCTTTGAATATTCTCCTCTGGATCAAGGGCCTTTCAGCACCCGCATACTCCATCTGCTTCCAAGCAAAGACAGAGCCGCTCCGATTGAATGCCAGCTTTCCAACCTTTCTCTTCGGGACGATATTGCCCAAGAGTACGACGCCCTCTCATACGTGTGGGGAGATGAGGCGGACGGACAGTGTAACATCTCAATCAACAACCAGGCTTTCTCCGTAGGAAAGAATCTACACTCCGCACTCCTTAGGCTTCGAGGCCATAGAGTTGAACGGAGATTATGGGTCGACGCAATTTGCATCGACCAGAACAATATGAGAGAGAAGGAGAAGCAAATCCAGAACATGGCGCGCATATATGAGCAGGCCAGCCAGGTGATGGTGTGGTTGGGTGAGGAGGCAAATGATAGTACTCAGGCGTTAGAAGCCATTCGTGTCGCGGCAGGGTCAAGGTATTCTGGAGAGGATTCCAATCTGCCATCAGGAAGCGTCCCCATTGAGGGTATCAAAAATCTGTTCCTTCGGGGGTGGTTTTATCGCATGTGGGTAAGTAATTTTACGCTATGCCCACCGTCTTCTCCCTCTTGCTCTTTACGAAGCGATATCTGATGTCTAAGGAGAGGTAACAGATCCTCCAAGAGGTGGGCCTCGCTCGGAATATTCAGATTCTGTGTGGTCCTGTCAGAATGAGCGGTTACACATTTGCCACGGGCATCGAAGCATATAGTCGGTATGCTGGACCTAGTGTGATGAGTACAACACATCTGATTCGTGGAGCAATCTTTCGTCCTCAATATGGAACGTATCCGATAAAGAAGCTCTTCCTATCCGAGTTGATTGATATGCATCATACAAACGAAGCCTCTATCTTGCATGACAAAATCTATGCTTTACTGGGGCTGAGCTCTGATTCTCATGAAGCACCTGGCCTGTTACCCAACTACCAGCTGTCCTGGGAGCAACTCTTTCAACGATTAATCTGGTTCCTTTTGAATGAACAGATATCAGTGAAGACCTGGCCTGGTAGGGAATTTGCGAGCATACAGAGCAGTGGAAGGATCTTGGGTTTCGTTGTCACCAGGGAAGACCAGGACACGAAGACCATGTTGCAAGTGCTCTTGACTGGTCAAGGGACGGGTAAGGAGGACTACAAGAAAGTGCGGAGAGTAAAATGGGCCATCAGGAAACCAGTGGAGTTGTTCAAGTTGGGTGATATCATATGCCTCCTGGAGGGAGTTTCATATCCATCCATCATCAGATACGTTGATGGCTGTTTTAGAGTGATCGTGCTAAGGGCCGTTCTCCAAAACAGGGGTGACAGTGCTGAATTCCAACAAGTACTGTCCGAGAACAATCGTCCGGCTCTGAACTTGCACCTTGTTTGGAGCTGGAAAGAGCAATTGTCACCTTCCTTTGGTGTGCTCGACTTGGCAGCAGAGGCTGTTGGAACGGAGTCGGCAATTGAGAAGGTTCTATGGGACACTAATGTTGCAATGCACGAGACAGCATACAACAGAGAAAGAATGTACTGGCCAGCCATGTTTGGTACCGAGGACATCTTTCGGTTGTTTACAGAGCGACTCGGATCTTGGCATCCAAAGACACGGATGGCCTTGTACAGCGTGGCGCTCTTGTATTCCACGGCGGATATTGGCGTCAAGGCAGTCCCACTACTCTTTGATCGATTTAGGGCAAGAGAGATATTGCGGCAGATGTGCGGACTATCGAATTTATCGTCGTTGGTGGGACGTGACTACATTCACCGGAAGTACATCAATGAACCGGATTTTGTTTCTGGAAATATGGAGGTACCAATTCGCCTGAGGCCAAAACTATTGGAGGGACTAAATGGTCTGCTACGTGAGATTAAGCACAGGCCCTCTTTAACGCTCTAGCCGTTATTTTGAGGCTGAACACAGGAGTTATTTTGGCCTAGAGTACCCTCGATGCTCTTCAGGGGCCGCTTCCGAAAGCTCGGTATCAACGGTGTGATGTCGCACCATCGATGCCCTAGATACTACGGGCTATGAATGTAAGCCTCGAACTTTTCTTCTCTTTATGAATGATTTCGGGGCTGGTTTTAGTGTCGCCTTGAGCTGCGACGATTGATGATCGTCCCCGATGTCTATATATGAAAACCACGCAGATTCCTCAGACACCAGAGCTTCTCATTGTTATGTACGATTTTACTAATTTAGTGGTCCATCAAGGGCAAGCTCAAGTAAACATTGTCACAATTAATGGTTCTTACGAATCTACATCATCAATTCTGATTGAACGCATGAATACAGGTGCACATACAACTAAGTACTGATGTATTGCAGACTAAAAAACCTACCGATATATATCCAGCATATTAGATACGATTTCAGGACTAGTAAGTGTTAACCACGACGAAGGATCGTAAAGTACATCTTTATAGTATGAATAAGTGGCATATCACCAATTCCACAGGGGCTAGTAGGTAAATATAGTCAATCAGTTCTGTACTGTTCCATGTTCTTGCGCGAAGCTAGCGGCCCATCAAGTTACTACATATAGGACAAATCACAAGTTGTATAGGTATATTTGCATATCGAAGTCTAGTCTGATGCTAGACATGTAACAGGTAATAAAAGAAGGTATTTTCTACTTAGGACCAGTCTGAGCCGTAAACAACATCAATCCCAAAAGTGGTATCCAACTGACTTTCTGGGTGAGTCGAAAAGCTTTCACTACACTAGTAGTGAAAGAAACTTGAGGGACATAAATGCCGATAGGCACACAGTAGCCGTGGAAAAAAACTGGTCGCCGACGGCGATGAATAAGCATCATGAAGTTAAAACCAGTGAAAAGCGGACGCAGAATTTTTTTCAACGTTCCAGCAGTCCTGAACATATATATTTGAACACTGCCAACGGCACATCAAGGGCAACAAAAACCTAGTATGGACCGAGTTTTCCTCATATATGTATAGCAAAAGGGCAAAGAACCCCACATACGAGCCCGGATGGTCTAGTGGTAAGCTTTATCCAATCAAACATTCCACCACCTTCATCGTCTAACAAATTCATAGGTATGATTCTCGCTTTGGGTGCGAGAGGTCCCGCGTTCGAATCGCGGTTCGGGCCTATCTTCCTTCTTTTTTGGTTTTAACCTTTCTTAATCTTTCCTCTCTTACGCTTTGTTTTCTATTTGCCACCTGATTACGTATACGAGCCCGGATGGTCTAGTGGTAAGCAGCCCTCAAATATAACCTATCTCGGCTATCAGTGTCTAACTAAATAACAGGTATGATTCTCGCTTTGGGTGCGAGAGGCCCCGCGTTCGAATCGCGGTTCGGGCCCATCTTCTTTTTTTGTTTTTATTATTCCCCCCTCTCTTCTTCCATCGTATTCGTTATACTAGAGTACTCTTTTGATTTTCTTTCCACCCTCTCTTTGTCATCTCCCTCTCTCTATCTCCATCCTTGTCTTTATTTATTCAGCCCTTGAATAGTTCAATTTGGCCGCCTTGACCCATTGACACTCCGGTTCCCAAAGGGTATCCACGTTTCTAATCATCTTTGCGTTCCAGCCCGATCTACTCAGATATGATTAATCTGTGTCAAGAAGCGCCTACTTTCACCAACCCTTTTTGATAAAGACTGACAGGGAGAGGTCGAGGTTGCTGGGATTAAGCCCACCAACTATTATCCATCCAACCCGCGCTCGAAAGACATGCCTGCACGCGTCTGTATCAATATAGAAATACCTCTGGCCCATCAAGTTGGGAAAGGATGTAAGAGTAAGCATTCGCAAATAATGTCAAGGTGTGAGTGAGTATGCTATACATGACTGGTTTGAAAACCTGTACTTGACTTCTCACACATAACCGTAGTAGATTCTGTCCCAGTCAGGATCATCTAAGCCCAGTAATAGCACTAAGCAGAGTAGGTTTACGAATAAAAGCTTCTTTGACTACTCTTACTTATAGTGATTTGGTGCGCGTAGCAATACATGATGTCGAAACGTGTGAGCGTGACAGCGACAGGGCTGAGCCAAATCTACTAACATAATGATATTTAGACCATAATTAGATGGATGGATGTCACTATGAAGTTTACTTTGGTCCAGGAGAGAGAAGATGCTGACCCCATGCACTTGTATATTATCCACAGCCTCTATTTGCATACAGCTATTCCCCGACTGTCAATGTTTGAGATCCCCCATTGGTGTCGGCGTCTACCCTCTGAGATCAACATTGAAATGGCTGACTTACGCCCACTCAAGACCAGTTCTTCCTCATATCGGAGTTGCTCAAGATGGCCATCTTGTTGCTAAATGCGTACAACATTACCCACGTATATCGCCTGAGGCACACTGTGTGTTGCAGGTGCCTTGACTGATCCAGAAAAGCTTGTACCGTCCCTATTACCATCTGAAACACGAACAACTCCCCGCAGACGGGACATCACGACTTCGTTGATTGCAAAGAGGTTGGATGGATCTAGCACACAAACCCTTGCTTTATACCCTGCAGGAGTATCGTCTCCATCAATAGATTACTCCCACAAACAACCACCATGGACATACATACCATCATCCAGAATCTGAGCTGAAAAGAAATGCTGCGCCGGCCCCCCCCTTCAATAGCCATGATCGCCCCCTATAACTCGGTTCTTCGTCCCAAGGTCTCACCCAGCATACTTCCTCACTGCACACACATGCCCCATCACCTCCACACAGCAATGAAAACATGCGTCTATAAAGTACGATGAAACTTTTAATACCCCTCAGGATACTTTAGTTCTACACACCTCTCTCCGTCCTTCCCTTACAAGACCCAATGCACGGACACCATCGAGCAGAATCACCTGCACCGAGCGAAGAGAATCCGGAGCCTTGCCTTGACGGAACCTAGGGCCTCACGCCCTACGACTTTCTCGTTTGCGCCAGTGACCGCCTAAGAAAAAACCGACTATCCCCCCAAGCCTCCATCGCCAAACGAACTACGCATACGAGCACGGGAGGAGGAGGAAGGGAATAGGAGTCCGGGAATCGATGCAGGCAGCCGCGTCAAGTTCCGAGATTGGACATTTACAATCCGACTGATAAGTTTTGGGAGGCTATTGTGAAAGAGACAGATGGATGTATACTATCAAAGATGGGGAAGACTCATTCATTGGCGTTGTGCGATGCCCTGTTCTTTCTTCTGGGATGGGCTTGCAGAATCCTACTGAGCCATGGTAGACCATATATGTTGATACTTGGTCAGGCGTTGTTTGCTTCTTGTCTCAACAGAGCAAGCGTGCGTCAGGATTGAGGTGCACCTCCTGTCCGGTCAGTGTGGTGAGATCCTGGTGCTGGGATGTTCTGTTAATCCAAACAAATCCTAGCAAGTCTGGCAATCTAAGCGTTATTACCACTGGAGATAAAACTACTTTATTAACTATTGGGAAATGTCCTTCTGCTGGAGGGGTATAGGGTAGGCTCTGACAGTGGGTTCATGGCAATGACACAAACCCAGATGCATGGAGAGGCCTTTGAGTTAGGGGGTGGGGGACAGCCAAAGTGGTTAGTCACGTTTGTGTTCTCATGCTAAGGCCATGTAAATATGCTTCTTTGAATTATTACGTACCATGGTAAGGGGCAGTAGCGTTGGGTTGTAACAGTTGTGCAGCTTCCGCTCATCCATATTTTCCGTGCGCAGTCTACGTGACAGATCCTACGGAGTATAATCTAAGAGAGGCGTTGAGGAAAGACAGTCAACCCGGTACCCACTGAACATGACAATTTAATCGTGCAAAAGATTCTACATTCTATGTGTTCCAAAGCTTCTTTCCTTTCCTACCTATTGTGCCCACAGTAGCCGAACAAACAAAATGCCAAGCGCAGTGCTTTCACAACCCACTCTGCATGAGGACTCGCGTGTGGCCTATTAGCTGCTTTTCTTTACTTTCCGCCTCGTACACAGCTAGATGGAGCAGGCGCTCGGGAGGAAGATGTTGTCCTTCAGATCTCACTGTGGCTCGGTAACTGACCAAGACGTTCAGAAGTTGCCAGTTTCCCGGCACTGGTGACAAGTCGCAGTTGATTCTGCCAACAACAGTAGTTTGTTCTTCGAGCCGCTCGAGCGGGTCTACCTGCTGCGCACTCTCCATAACAAAAATGGTATGGGCCCCGTCTGTGCTTCGGGGCAGTGTTATATTGATTTGATTGGAGTACTCGTTGTCAAAGGGACTCCCCTGCGAAGAAGGTTAAGCCATCAGTAGCACCACGAGAGGTCAGGCTCACGCATTACCTTGCTGATGATCATGTTGATCTGCTGGTTCGCGTAGACCAGATAATAAAATCTCCAGAATTTAAAGGACAGTTGTGGCCCCATGAGGCCGCGAAGTGTGCCACCAATACAAACGGCTAGGTTCCGATATGTATGAGATGTTTGTAAGCTTTGAATGATAAGAGAACAGAACTGTGCTGTAACGAGGTTGTTGGCAGGCTTACACGTGATATGGCTGGTGGAATTCGATCCTGAACTCGTTTTCAAATGTGTACTGAATTCTGTTTGAGATCTCGGCCGATCCACTCAAACCTCCCACTAAAAGTAGTCTCTGACAGACATGTTAGCCATTTGATGCTGCGTGGAAGCTACCAGAATATTATAGTACCTTGACAACACTGCGTCCAGCGCAGATGTTAGCGCAAGCAATTTCACGCCGAATATGGCCAATGATCTTGATGGCAGCGCTCTTGTAGATCAGCTGCAGGTCAGCATGCGGGAGCCCGGTGTTAGTGGGCATTGATATAGGACCATGCGGAAAAATTTGCCGGGCCCATTGGGCAAACGGACGATTGACCTTGCTTCTCGTCACCGGACCACGCCCTTCGTTGTGTTGCAACTTCTTATATATCAGAGATTGGAGCTGAACCGCCCCACAGGCGTTACCTTACTAAGGATTAGCTGAAAACTTGAACCTCACTAGGTCTTACCTACCTGTAAACGCTGTAAGTCTTTGATATTCAAAAGGAATTTTCTGGTCGACGAGAAAAGTAGTTATGTCCTAGTCGTGCCATTAGTATAGAAAAGGAAAAGAAATCGTTGTTACCAAGAAGAACTCGTACGACAGTACTGGCTCCACAATCAACCACCATGACCCCATCGCCTGTCTGTTCAAATAATTCCGATCATCTGATAAATTTCGACGATCATAAATGGATTTGCCTGCAATTAGATACTCACTTCACAAAGCTGCCCCATGTTGAATCCCCCTTCACTGGCGGCGTATACGGCGACCGCCTCGGCCTCGGAAGTGAAGGAGACGCTTGCGCCGCGAGGATTTGTAAACCCTGCCGAATAAACAGCCTGTTCCATCTTCATATGAGCAGATTCCGACCAAGTAGATCGCGTGGTAAATATGAAGTTCTTTGGCATTCTGTCCATTGCATCGTCATATTTCAAGAAACTCTGGAGATGCCCTAATATCTTTCCCAGGAAGTCGGACACGACGAGGGATGGATCCTGGCGTTGCCTGAGAGGCAGGTGCAACCATGTCGACTCGACGAGCTCCTCGATAAGCTCGTCATCAGAGTCTCGCAATATGCGAGCATCGTCGAATATATGTTTTATTCAATAAACGCAGTTCTTTTGGCGTTGCGCCTCCACACCAATACAGCATGAGGAGCCGTCCTGGGGGTACGCGATCGCCGTTGGAATGATATGGGTATTACCTAGTGCTAGGAACTCAGGAATCCCATTCCACTTATCTCTGGTGACATGATAGCCGACAACTATTCAAAATAGGGCGTGAGTCATGGACACATGCGGGGGGTGGAAGCATCTAGCGGCATGGTTACCTGTTTTACTCGCCCCAAACTCGACACTAATAATCAATCTGGAGCCTTCCATGGATTCTGTGGTCAGGGAGAACTTGAGAGATACAAGCAATCAAAACGATTGGATCTCGAATGCAGGAACAGTACGGCTCCGGGACAAAGAGGTCGTGCCCTTTGTTACAGCTTCACGATAAAGAGATCCCAGCCTTGGTACAGTCGTGAGATAAAGGAATCCATAACCAGGCGGGGTAGGAGAAGGTTTTTGCTGCTGCTGCTGTTGTTATTATTGTGGCATTTGCTGGCTTGAGAGACAAGACCGAGTCAGGGGATTAAAGATTGATGCCCAGAGTGATACACCCTCTTTCCTCCTCCTTTGTCGTTCCTCCGTCGCCTCTCTTCCCATCATCACGCTCAGACCCATCCTGCGTCTCCAATTACTCTGAGCATTATGACGGGTAAACGACGCCGTAATACAGAAAAGTCAGAGGTTGTCAGTCCCCTTCTCGCCTCCTGCCTATCATTCTCCATCTACCTCCCAAGCCTGGCAATCCCCAGACCTCCACTTACATGCCTGATCTTCACATAGAAGCAGGATGCTCCGCCAGAGAGCGCCAAAATGCCGCTTGAGCCTCCTGCTACTGAATCCCCGAAGGGCGAGTCGCCGTCCGATACTCAACCGTCCAGAAGGCCTTCGGTGCACCTGACAGCTGAAGACTACGATAAATATCAGAGCCATTGTCATCGCATGGCAATCAGTCAAGTGGGGTACACTTTCGATACGAACACAGTCATGATAGATTATGCCAATCTCCAAGACGAGGTTTCCAGGTGGACTGAATCATTTGTTTGTGTGGATACTCCATCCCTTTCCAGAGTACAGAAACAGATGATCATTCGGAGACTTGATAGATACTGTATCCAAGAACCTTGGAATAAAATCCAGTCGCTCCTTTCTCCCTCCTATCGGGCTGTATTCCACTTATGCCTGGCCGAAGCAATGATCTACCAAACGATATTCACTCATTTGCTCGAGAAACCGTTCGGGTTCCTAGACGGGAAACGTGATGCAACTGACAAGATTGGAGACTTATCGTTCTCCGAACGAATTCAGTATCTTTATGAAAGATATTACGAATGTGAGTATTCCAGCTCGTTTCCAATTCTATGGAAGGGTTCTTCTTGATCTAACAGGCGGGGCTGTCATCCCTGGTCTTTGTAGCAAGCCCGGTCAATGCTATGTGGTGGAGGATGGTCACACTCAGTCTTGCCAACCTAAAAGAAGACGATACATCCAAGTCCCCTCGGGACAAAGCACCTTATGAATTTGGAGACAGGAGCCGCAAGCGGCAGGCAAACATGGCAAGAGACCTGGCGGATCAACTTCTGGCAGACAGTTTGTTCCAGCTGCTCCTACGTGAGTTGGCTGGTGCAGAAGAAGAGACAGCGCGCCGTGAGCGCCTGGTGACGATATTTCAGGATAGTGCACAAGCCTTCATCAATCACGAGGTTATACTGGGTGGACAGGTGAAAATCCACCAGCTCCCTGAGTTGAAGCAGTTTGATACTTCTACGGGGCTCATGTTCTCGATGAAGTTTCATTGCAATAAGCAAGAGGATCCTCCACTGTACGTCCCCAAGCCACGCGGCCGGGTGATCCTCGTGGTTCGGCCGGGAGTGTGTCGGTACGATACTCCCATCCGATTTATACCATTCAGCCATCAGCCTCTACGACTCAAGGAACTGGAGGGGGAGCCTACCTCCTGGTTGGTTTGTAAGGCCGAGGTTTTGATGGAAACAGTTAAAGCTAGCAGCTCATCTGACGAATATGAGCCTGACCCCGAGGACAAGGATGTCTCCTTCTAGCTGATCTACCTATACCTATCCAGCTGTGTTGTCAGCTTATGCTTTGTAATATCTCGCACACTCGAAATGCTTTTTGCTTTTGAGGAGATGAAAATTTGCCTTTTATTATTATCCATTATCGGGGCCTTCTGAATCATCTGCTGTTGCTCATCCTTTGAAGTTGCCAATCTCAGTCTCAGAATGAAACTGTATATCAAACTGAAAATCTATATCACAAAGGGAGCTTGCCCTTAATGTTATCCTGCACCCAGATACTAGTATATAAAGGTCCCCGTAGACCTATTCTTGTCCATGCCCAGCGACAAAATTCTCCTGTAGGCTTCCCTTCTATCATGGAAGAGGCACTGCTTACAGTATGCGCGAAAAGGCTAGCGGTTTGCAAGCAAAATACTGAAAGGAGTTCCAGGGTACGTGCAGAGGGGGCAGTTAAGGAAACTCTCTATAACAACTACTAATACTGTTCTTTGTTATCACTCACGAAGAGGTATTTCAGAGATTTCTATACTAAGTGCACTCTACTACTTTACACAGCACGACAAGAGCTACCAAAACATCAGATCTCCCTCTACCCTCGTCCATTCCGAGCCCAAATCTGTCACCTTTGCTCTCTCATCTTGTTCATGTATGTTGAACATTACGCACCTAACCATCATCAGATGATATAATCTTGCACGTTCGTTGATTAGAATTGTCCTTAGATCTACCTTTTAATATCGTGCCCTGACTGCGACGAGCCCACACGACTCAAGCCCTAAAATGGAGCAGTAATCGTCATGTGAAGAAACGTGGGGTAAAAGGATGTGGGTTCGGGAATCTTATCCCTGCAAGAGGCTAGTGGGACATTCAGGGCTTGACGCTCGCTTGTGCCAAACATTCATTTTCAATGCTGCCTCTGAGATTGAAGATGTCACGGAGTACAGGGAACCCACGATACCCTTCGACATGAAATCATATATTTGAGTTATTGACTTTGTTGACCACTATGCTTGTTGACTCTGAACCTTATCCACCACAAATCTGCCTGTAGAGTTGACTTGGCCCTGGTCGCTGAGATAAAAACTAGATACCAGTAGCCGATAGTCTGGCAAGTAGATAGCTGGCTGAGCTGGAACTGGAAGTTGGCCATCTGGTGAGGAGGGTTTGGTCCAAATCGAGCCTGAATGGTTCAATGAGTACGCCGGGGAATGCCTGGTGGTCTGACACATGTCATCATGAGTCTTGAAAGAACCTTCAAGGTTACTAGGAAGGCAATGGCTTGTAGTGAACCCATGTAGTCAGCAAGATGAGACAGTGGTGTCCTGCATCTCACCCAAGTGAGGGATCAATACTTGAATCACCATCACCAGCAGGAGCAGTCCCCTGAAGCCCCCATGCCCCCTCCTCTATCTCCTTTCCACGAAACTTCACCAGCAGACCCACAGTTACAGGACCAAGTACCGTGTTGAGCAGAATCGCCCATACGGCGGTAATAAAGGCGTCCTCGCTCACGTACGAAGTCTCATTATACCCCACTTCGACAATGAGGAGGCCGATCTCGCCGCGGGCAACCATTGCCGAGCCGAGAAGTAGGCCGGAGAGACAGACTGTGGACCAGACTGCTTTTGTGCTATCGTCGCTGTAATGTTCTTCCCTAGGATACTCTTTTGCTACCTTTCTGCTCAGGATGTTGGAACCGGAAAGTATTTGCCAAAGTGGGACCCAGATTCCAACGATGAGCTGATCATTGTTAGTTGTCATGTTAGAGACAAACTTAGCGAGAGGTGGAAAGTGAATACCTTTGCAAAAAGCATCAGAAGAGTAAAGACGATACCCCTCCATATCCTCTTCCCTGTCCAAAGCTGCACAAAGGGGATAGCGAACCCGATACTCGAGAAGAAAAGCGGCTCCATAAGATACTTCTGCACATCCAGCAGGTACCGCTCGAAAGTGTGCACGAATGTCGGACTCTTATTCTCCTCTCTTTCGCCTTCCTCTCGGCTCATAACTACAAACGGTCCATCTGGGTGTTTACTGGGGATATAAGTTAGGAATGTACCAGCCAGGAACGCACCAAAGAGGATGGAAGTCCCCGTATACGCGGCAATGCTGATAAATGCGCAGAGGACCAAGATCATCAGGATGATGTTGGAGATGTGGTCGAATCGAGCGAAGTGATACTCGATATAGCGGCGGAAGAGCGGCGCAAAGAGGTATTTTGTTACCAGAGGGGTTACAATAGCCATGCCGACGGAGGCTACAATCGGGCGGCCAATTAGCCAGCCTAGATTGACAGAGTGGCCTTGGCCTAGTTCGCCCAGATCATTGATGACGCTGTTTTAAATGAGTTAAACCGTGATGAAGGTGGGTTTCAGGCAAGTATGTCATCTACCTTAGCATTACCAGACCGACAACGTCGTCAATGACAGCTGCGCTTACGAGGATCGATCCGACGCGAGTTTGGGCGAGATCGACCGTGCTGGAAGCGGTTGAAATAACAGCAAAGGTAGTGCCGAGAGAAGTAGCAGACAAAGATGCTCCCACGATGAAGGTTTCAACAGCACCTGCCGGGATATGTCACTTTTGAGAGTCCTAATCGAGTAACGCATACTCACCATAACCGAATCCCAAGTACAAGAGCAGGTAAGAAAGTCCGATCGGAAATAGAACCCCTGTTGCAGCGCCAATCATACTCAAGAAGAAATTCTTCTTCAGGAGGTCAAGACGGGCTCCTAGCCCGCCTTCAAAGATGATGAGTATTAAGCCGATATAACCTAGAGCAAGGAAAGTGGATTGCCAGTCTGCATGCAGGATGTTCGCCAGTGGCGTTCCGTAGATGATACCGACGGCGATCTGGCCAATGATGCCGGCGCGGATGATTTTGGAGGAGATCCATTCCGCTAGCGAGAGGAAGAAAAAGAAGGAGATTAGGATGAGAATGTTGACAACTGATGTGGTCAGTTTCTAATGATAATGGCAGTGGTGAAGGCATCGTCAACGTACTGCCTGGTTCGTGATATGGGAGGAAACCTCCAGCCATAATGCACTTTTCAGTCCTCGTGCTTTATCTAGTGGATAGTACTTTGTAGTGGTGGCTATACAAAGGGGAAACTCAATTTAACAGATGAACGGCGAGTCCAGACTGAAGAGACTTGACCTCTTCTACAGTATAATCCAACAGATTCTTGGCCTCAATACCATCATTCAATGGAGTTTTATGCATACTGCAAACATGGTGACAGGACTGTCTCAGGTCGCACAACGTAAGGTTGCGGCAATGATCTCACTGTTCAATTCTGCCCGCGAGAGCCATGGTTTACTTACTACCACACCACTACCTACTAACTATCGATCTTCTGCGCAAAACCAACGTCGTGTCCTGGGGCGCGTTAAGATGTTAAGATTAAGTTACTCACCTCACGATGATGCCGACTTACAACAAAGTACTACTATATCCATTATCCACACCTTATCTGGTCGCCAGGGCATCGTCCCAACTGTTGTGGAGAATCCACCAATCCACCAATCCACCACCCGTTTAGTTTTGGTGCCGGTTTTGGCTCCCACCGCCCGAGCACTTCCGAGGGTATTCCGCATCCGCGAAATTTTCTCCTGCCCGGCTTCCCCGTGTGCTCTTCTCCAGCTTCAACCTTTTCCCTCCATCCTGCCAATTCTTTCTTAATCGGGTCTTTTTTTGGGGTTCCCTTTCTTGTCCTGCGTACGGGGTCGGGTTGTATTCGATTCAATTCCCCTTGTCCTTGTATCATACCATTTTGCTTCTGTTTTCTCCCCCGTCCGTTTTCTCATCCTTTTCATCCTTTACTACTTCCACCGCCACCCGCTTTCCATTCTTGCTGGGGTTCTACACAAGCCGTCATCAGGTAGCTCTGTCTTATTTAGTGCTACCTATCTATTCTATTCTCTATTTTCCCCTTCGATCTACTACCACTTAGTCCGTCATAATGGCCCAGACCAATGGCGAACTGGAGCACTCGAAAGGTTCGCCTGCTTTTCCCAGCCGTCAATCACCGATCCCGGCTTGGTGTATGTCCAGTAAAACTAACCATGTCCACAGAGACTCCCGAACAGCTCACCAATGGTAACCACCCTGAGGAAACTCAGGAAGAGGATAACACCGGTGGTACGTCTCTCCTGTCGCTTATAACTCAATCTTGCGTACATGTTACTGACCGTGAGTCATCGTTTACAGGTCTTTTCCAGATCACCGTCAAGCTCCCTCATGAGCCCTACAAGATCCAGGTGATGGTGGGTATTATGTCTACAGGAGTCATGCGACTAGAGGAATGATTCAAAAACCCTCTAACCCGAATACTTAGGTGTCGAGCCAAGAACAAGTTCAAGATGTGCGCCAATCGATTGTCGAGCTGCCCAGCACCTTCCAGTACACCTGCTTCCACCTCGAATTTAACGGCCAGCGCATCAATGACTTCGTCGAGCTGTCCGAGGTGCCTGACCTGAAGGCTGACTCCGAGATCACCCTGGTGGAGGATCCCTACAACGAGAAGGAAGCTCGTATGCACGTTGTTCGCATGAGAGAGCTGGTTGGCGCTGCGGGTGACCGGGTTGACAACCTCCATGGTATCAGCGCTGGTCTGTCTCTGCACGATGCCATCTCCGCTGAGGTGGCTGATGCGTCGGAGAAGGAGCACTCCCTGTCCAAGTACGACATTACTAGCTCCCCCTCTCTCAAGACCATCCTCCCCCGCGCCGAAGCTCCCCTTCCCAAGACCGTCAAGGCCATCTCTCTCTCCCCGTGGAACCCCGTTCCTTACCACCTCCGCCAGAAGGGTCACTTGCTTTACCTCCAGGTCACCACCAACGAGGGTGAGCAGTTCCAGATCACCTCTCACATCTCCGGCTTCTACGTGAACAAGAACTCGAACATGAAGTTCGATCCTTCCCCGAAGACCATCCCCAAGAGTGGTCGCGCGCACTCGCTGCTCACCTTGATCGCTCACCTGTCGCCCTCCTTCAACGCCTCTTTCGAAGCCCTCCAGGAGTCGAACAACAAGAAGGATCTCCTGACCACCTTCCCCTTCCAGAACGCCATCCCCAACAACCCGTGGCTTGTTCCCCCTCCCACCTCGACTGCGAACGCTCACCAGCCAGACATCACCCGTTCCCAGGAGAACTACCTCATCTCCGGCGTTGACAACGCGGAGACCCTCCGTGACTGGAACGAGGAGTTCCAGACTACCCGGGAGCTGCCTCGCGAGACTGTTCAGGACCGTGTTTTCCGTGAACGCTTGACCTCCAAGCTGTTCGCTGATTACAACGAGGCCGCCGCTCGCGGTGCCGTCCTGGTGGCTCGTGGTGAGGTCGCTCCTCTGAACCCCACTGAGAGCCGCGATGCTCAGATCTTCGTTTACAACAACATCTTCTACTCTTTCGGTGCTGACGGTGTTGGCACCTTTGCCTCCGAGGGTGGTGACGAGGCTGCCCGTGTCGCTGTCGGAAAGGATGTTGTGGGCATCAAGGCCGTCAACCAGCTCGACATCAACGGTCTCTTCACCCCGGGAACTGTGGTCGTCGACTACCTCGGCAAGCGTATCGTTGGTCAGAGTATTGTCCCCGGTATTTTCAAGCAGCGTGAGCCCGGTGAGCACCAGATCGACTATGGTGGTGTTGAAGGAAAGGATGTCGTGGCCACTCACCCCGACTTTGTGTCTGTTTTCGAGAAGATGTCCAAGGCTCTTCGCGTCAAGAAGCACGCCGTGTGGGACAAGGAGGGCCAGCGCCACGAGCTTGAGGGTAGCGTGGAGACCAAGGGTCTTCTGGGTACTGATGGCCGCAAGTACGTGCTTGACCTCTACCGCGTGACTCCCCTGGATGTCATGTGGCAGGAGGAAGAAGGTAGCGATGCCTACCCGCACCGCATGTCCGTCCTGAGACTGGAGCTTGTTGAATCTTACTGGAGACACAAGATGAGCCAGTATGTCAAGGCCGAAGTCGAGCGCCGCCGTAGCGCCAAGGCTGAGGCCGATGCTGCCAAGGCTGAATCCTCCGAGGCTACCGAATCCAAGGAGCAGGCCTCCGAAGAGAAGAGCGAGGAGGACCAGGAGCGCGTTGACATCTCCGGATTCTCGCTTGCGTTGAACCCCGACGTCTGCAGCGGCCAGGTTCCCCAGACCGATGAGGAGAAGGAACAGTGGGCCCAGGACGAGAAGGAGGTTCGTGAGACTTGCGACTACTTGCGCTCCAAGATCATGCCCGAATTGATCCAGGATCTGCACGACGGTGATGTCGGCTTCCCTATGGATGGACAGTCCCTCAGCCAGCTTTTGCACAAGCGTGGTATCAACATCCGCTACCTTGGTAAGCTGGCTCAGCTGTCCAAGGAGAAGGGTTCTCGTCTCGATGCCCTGTCTACTCTCCTTGTCCAGGAGATGATTTCCCGTGCCTTCAAGCACATTGCCAACGAATACCTTCGTAACGTGCCGGCGCCATTTGTCGCCTCTTGCATTTCTCACTTGCTCAACTGCCTTCTGGGTGCTGATGTCAACCCCAACCCTGTTGCCGAGATCGACGCCTCTCTGCGCTCCATCTACCCCGAAGGCGACTTCTCCTTCGAGAAGGCCACCCCTGCCACTCTCCGGGCTGCAATTGAGAAGCAGGTGACCATTCGGTACCGCTTCACCCTGGAAGCCGAGTGGTTCAACTCTCTTAGACACTTGCAGCTTCTCCGTGATCTGTCGATCAAGCTCGGTCTGCAGCTTGGTGCTCGGGAATTCATCTTCGACAAGTCGCAGATCCCTGCCAAGGCTCCCGCCACTAACGGTGCCAACGGTGTTGCCCAGGAGGAGGGCAAGAACAAGAAGAAGAAGAAGGGTGGCGATTCGAGCTCTCCCGCCCGTGCCGCCAAGGAGGAGAAGCCTATCCTTGCCATTGTCCCTGATGACATCCTCAACATTGTGCCCTTGGTCAAGGACGCCTCCCCCAGGAGCTCCCTTGCTGAGGAGGCTCTGGAGGCCGGTCGTATCTCTCTTATGCAGAACCAGAAGCAGTTGGGCCAGGAGCTCATCTTGGAGTCTCTGTCTCTGCACGAGCAGATCTACGGCATCCTCCACCCTGAGGTCGCCAAGCTCTACCACCAGCTGTCCATGCTGTACTACCAGACCGACGAGAAGGAAGCGGCCGTCGAGTTGGCTCGCAAGGCTGTCATCGTCACTGAGCGTACTCTGGGTGTGGATTCCGCTGACACCATTCTAAGCTACCTCAACCTCAGTCTTTTCGAGCATGCTTCTGGAAACACCAAGACTGCGTTGGCTTACATCAAGCACGCCATGGACCTCTGGAAGATCATCTACGGCGCCAACCACCCCGATTCCATCACCACCATGAACAACGCCGCGGTGATGTTGCAGCACCTTAAGCAGTACTCGGACTCTCGCAAGTGGTTCGAGGCCTCGCTGGAAGTCTGCGAGTCTCTCTTTGGCCGCCAGTCGATCAACACCGCGACCATCCTGTTCCAGCTGGCCCAGGCGCTGGCTCTTGACCAGGACTCGAAGGGTGCCGTTGGCAAGATGCGTGATGCCTACAACATCTTCCTTAGCCAACTGGGTCCCAACGACCGCAACACCAAGGAAGCCGAGACCTGGTTGGAGCAGCTCACTCAGAACGCGGTTTCGATCGCCAAGCATGCCAAGGACATCCAGGCTCGCCGTCTGCGCCGGGTCAACATGAACCCTCGCTCTCTCGGCACCAAGATCCAGCCTCAGGTTGGCCAGACTGCTCCCGAGGTCGCTGGAGCCAGGGCTCCCGGCAGTGCCTCCCTGGACTCCCGTAGCGTCGATGAGCTGCTGAAGTTCATCGAGGGCGGTGATGCCGGTTCTTCCAAGGCCAAGCAGAAGAAGCGCGCTGCTGCCAGCAACCCCAAGCTCCGTGGCTCGAAGAAGTCTTCGGCTTAAGCATGATGGGTTGTCTCAATCTCTTTTCTCTTACCCTCTATTTCCCTGTGCATGGCCGCTGGCCGAGCTTAAAAAATTATCTTGGGTTTATTTCCTTGTACTATGCCTGTCTTAATAGAGGTATTTATTTGGCTCTATATATCCCTGCAAAGAGTTGATGTTTTGGATGAGCGGGCCGTTTGCAGAAATCTCTCTACTCCCGCACCGAATTGGGTGCTGATGGTTCTATGTTATTATTTCATTCTTCTTCCTATTGTCCTGTTCATTTCACGTCTTTTGGCATGGGGTTCTCTCTATCGCGGGCAGTGCATAGCCAGGCCGGGCGATTCGCATGCTATGTATTATATACGATGATCGGTGGTTATCCCAATACGACTCTGTAACGATGCTATGTCTTTGGTTCATTTTTCTCCTCTCTTTGTAGCAGAATATCCAACTCTAAACTTAGATGGCTGGGCATACACAAGTCGATGTCATTAATGGTCAGGATTAGAAGCGAGTGACCCTGGCTATCGGCGCTAACTGCATCCAGAGGAGCAGCAGCAATGTTTACATTTACATCTTCTCATTCCGCCGTCTCTGCCGGTTACTTCCAGTATCTCTCAGTTACTTTCAGGTTTGCATCGATCCTGGGTCCGTTGGATTGCGACTCGCTGTATATCCTAACCATACAGAGCTACATCTTGGATCTATTCAGGTGTCCCCACACCTAATATCAGCAGTAGTAGAAAGCCATGACTGATCAAGACCCTGACTGTTTACCACCCCCTCCCGCTAACCAAGAAACCCGGCCCAGAGACGGGCTGTAATTTCTCAGACGAGGAGAGGAGCCTAATGACCCAGCATGAGCGGATGCTGCCAAATGCCTGAGGTCCATTGGTTGCGCGGGAAAAACTAGAATTGTTCTGCCTATTGTTGGTATACCAACAGGATGCAATGCAGTCGAACAGTTCGTAGAGTTTATCCAATAGGTGTTTCAATACTGTGAGGATACCTCGGGAAATTCGCGCGATTATATGGAGGCTTGCTCAGCTGATGAGAACGGGGGATTCCTCCGCTCGACAAGGTGGCTGCGGAACAGCAATAGCATTCATTGGGGGGTTGTATTGGATGTGCCACCTCACTTGTACTGATAGGAAGAGGAGCATTGTGGAATGGAAGATTAGCACACGCCAGTTGCCAAACGCCTGGCTCCCCACGGCGCTTCAAGCCCAGCTGCTGCGAGAGCCGAGCGTCGATGTTCCAACCAGTAGCAGGTCGCCCAGCCCTGAACCTTCCAGAGGAGGCTTGCATCCTGCGTGACATCTGCGCCATCGATGAGCGGGACACAAGGGTTGCGGGATGGATTGATTGGAGGCCACCGTCTCCCAAGAGACTTCAGTTTCGGTTGAGGAACGAGGGCTGCAGTTCCAGTCACGGCCAGCGCTTCGCCAGCGATACGCGGGGCGCGTCCTGTTCTGCACCGATAGCCGCCCGGACACGGACGGGCCCTTCGTGTGTTATCTACCCCAGGCCAAGACCAGCGTCTTGAAGAAGGGCCCGAACACACCCTTCAGCTCCTGTGCGGATCCTATCAGATTGACTTCCCCAAATCAAGGTGGTTATCATCGATCAGCCCGTGTGGTGAAGCCGCCGATCCGCACCGCCAGTAAGGGACGGCAACAACCACCACCACCACCTCCAATACTGGTTCCCACACCGTCGGAGATGCAGCGTCCTTGACGCTCCACTCGTACGCAATTTTCCCCAATCGAGCGGGTAATTTCTGGCTCTGATGATGACAGCGAGAACGAGCTGAGTTTCTTGTGAGCGCGGGGGTTGTGGCTTTTTACTTTCGCTTGGGCGATGGGAAATTGGCAATGATTGTTGGCGAGGTCTCAATTTTCAGACCGAACCCCATCACTGGGTCGTGGATGGGATGGTCTGGTCTGTCCATGTTCATTTTGATTTAGAGTATTATTGTGACCATCTTATTTCCTGGCGATTTCGGGATGGAGCCACCGATTAATTCTGGGTAGGGTGTGGATTGATTGATTGATTGATTAGGTTTGTTTTTTTGGAGGATCTTCTTGGTTTCTGAATTGATCGACTGATTGATAAATGATACCCGCGGGCAAGAAAAAGTCATTCATTCGTTTGATGCTTGGGTCCGGTGGTTGGATTGGACGTGGGGGAAAAAAGGGAAATACTATGTGGCATGGGATGGGCACGGAATTTTAGCTTTGTTCTATCGTAGATCTTGAAAATGGATAACTAGATTCCCTGGTAGGTGAACTAATGTGGTTAGGTATGGCTTCATTGTCTGAAACTCCCTAAGTAGTATTATTGAATGGTAGAGTAGTAGTTTCAGTAAGTAGAAGACCATAAACCCCCACGATCTGTCAGTCAGTCAGTTAGACAGTCACCTCCTGAGCGGGAAGAAGTGAAGCAGCCGCAGTGACAAGACTGTCGCACGACTGTAGCTTAACAATAATAACATTGACAGATGACATACATCATCATGCACTGACAGCAAGAAGGGAAGTATAAATCAGGATAAAAATGAAATTAATTAATTAATTAATTTAAATCACCCCGACAAGTTCATCAACTATCAAAATCACCCCAGGAATAATCATATTACTTCTGATTGATGAAATGACGGTTTGTTTATCATCCCATATTAATTCCCACTTTTCTTGAATCGGTGAGTAAATGAATGAGGGACTTCTCCACCTGCTGCTTTGGGGAAGGCGTGACGATAGGAACTTGCTGTAGACTACTACTAGACTACTAATTCCCCCCCCAAAAGTAAAACATTAACAATCCTTCTATCCTTGGCTGGGGGTTGGTGTGCCGTGTGGTTGATATCAGTATCTACTAGTAGGATTAATGTCTCATCATGATGTGTGAGAGAGAGACATGGTAAGTTACACAAGAAAAAGGGATTGTGCAGAGAGTTTATTCCCGGAGACTTTGTTTATGTTAAGCATAGAAGAAGGAAGAGGAATAATCAATCAGTCAGATCACGGGTCTCCCGGTGCCAAGAACAGGTCCTCTTTCTTTCTTTCTGCCCTTATTTTTGTCTCTCCTTCTTGTTCTCGGTAATTCTTGTCTGATATCACCAGCCAAATAGGCAATGACCGGCAATCATGGCCACACCACTCAAGACAAGAACTTCTGTCTAGAACTACTATTATTATTATCTCTTCTGATTCGCCATTTCGGAAGAGGTCTTTGCCTATCTTGACTCTCTCCGACTCTTTTCTTCTGCTCATCCTCAAACCTCAAACCGCGCCAAATCCACTTGGGGCCCGCTCTTGTCCGCCCTCGCCGCCAAGATTGGCTCGCTAACTGGCTCTTAAACTTCTACAACGCAAGGGCGACGGTCATCGCTCCCTCCAGCCAAGCCGCGAGATCTCATCCGGCCTCCGCTGGGTTGTTTCATCTAGGAACCCACTCATCCTCTCTCTTTCCCCCCCTCCCCTCAACTCGATCGATGGCCTCATATATCCGCTTCGCTTGGCATGGAAGGCAAATTTGACAGGAGTCACCCGGACGGGCCCAGCGTCTCTTGGTGACCTGGCTCGACCTGTCCAGTGTTCCACCTCATTCTCCCTTCTCTCCACTTATCGCGATGCACTGACTTGACTCGATGGGCCCGGATGCTGGGCCCTGATGAGTCGCCGGCTAACCCGCAATGCTCCAATCCAGCCAAGGGCGAGGAGGAAGATTGAGAAGGTTTTTGGCACTGGCCCTCTGGAGATCTTTCTCAATTATTCTGCTCGTTCTTCTTCTTCGTAGATTTTTCTTTTTCCTCTTCTCCTGCTTTTCCTTTTGTTAAGCGCTTTCCCTTTCACATATCGGCTACAGGATAGTCAGTCCCTTCTTTCCCTTCTATCCCTGCTATTTTTTTTGGGTACCTATCCCACGCCCCCCAATCGATTTGGCTCGCTTCTGCCTCGCTGTTGGGTAGTTGTTGGCTGTTGGTACCGGTTTTTTTCGTTCATTCTTTGTCAGAACCTTTTTCCTTTCTGAAGCTGAAGAGCAAAGGGTGTGACTGGTTCATATTTCCATTTTGAACATTCCGTTCCGTTGCCCGCCACTGTCGAGAGATTCCACACGGAAGTATCCCAGTTCCCAGGCGACCGTCCATTCTCTGTAAATCAAGACACACCAAGCTTTTTACCGTATTTCCTTTCGATCCGCCGCCAGCCTTGTCGCTTGGTCTTTGTTCAAGTTGTGATCTTCCCGCTGCTCGACAAAGCGCCATAACAATACCCTTGTTGGTGAACCCTGGCTCAGCTGGACGTGGGATATTCTTGCTCTCCCCACGCCAGTCCAACAACTAGAGACTTCATATACTCCTCATTGGGTCTCGTGCATGGTTCATTGACGAGGATCATTTCGGGATTTTCTTTCCTTTTTTCTTCTTTTGCATTTAGTTTCTGAAGAAAAAAGTCCGTCTGGGTAGAGCTGGTCTCCTGCAAGAAATATCCCCCTATTAGTACATCTTGACGTCGATTGTCGAGATATCCTTTCCACTCTTTTTTTTCTTCTTCTCATTTTTCAATTCACACACAAACATGCATTCTCTTCTTCTTTGCTCGTCCCTGGTCGGACTTGCTTCTGCAGCAGAGCTCGAAAAGCGCCATGGAGGAGGGGGCTGGGCGTTTTATGAGATGCTCAACGATGATCTCGCTCGTCTCACTCTGCTGGTTCTTGGCCTAATGGCTGCCTTCATTTATGTCTGGAAGATGTGGCATCGTCTTGCCAGTCATATGAGGCGACTGGCAAGTTTCAACAATGAACGCCAGCGGTACTTCGTTCACCCCGACAGCATGCTCGCGAAAATCAACAACCATATCATCTATGCCCCGTTGTTCCGTACCCGCCACAACCGCGAGTTTCAGCTCTCCCGAGCTGTCAACATGGGCACGCTGCCCAGTCGGTTCCATTCCTTCATCCTGGTGGGCATCATCGTCATGAACATCGTCCTTTGCGTTGTTACAGTACCCTATGGGTCCGAGGAGTCCACGGTTGCGGGCCTGATCCGCAACCGCACCGGAACCATGGCCACAGTGAACCTTATCCCGGTGGTGCTCATGGCCGGCAGGAACAATCCCCTGATCACCCTGCTTCAGGTGCCGTTTGACACCTTCAATTTGATTCACCGCTGGCTCGCTCGCATTGTCGTCTTGGAGTCGATCGCCCATGTGTTCGCTTGGGCGGTTCCCAAGGCCCAGGAAGGTATGTTGCAGCCCTAGTAAAAATCCATGGTTCATTTGTGTGCTGATAGGTGTATAGCCGGTTGGGATATCGTTGGGATGGTTTTTGGAGAGAGCAGCTTCATGCTGAGTGGATTGATCGTAAGCATTCATGGAAAATCACGCTTGAATTTGGCTAACTTGACTGTTAGGCTGCCTGCGCCTTCACTGCCCTCCTTGTGCACTCTCCCTCCCCCATTCGCCATGCATTCTACGAGACCTTCCTTCACCTCCACATCGTGTTCGTTGTGCTTTCGTTTGCCTTCCTGTGGATACATTTGGATGGTATGGTGTCCCAGAACTACCTTCTCGCCGCCATCATCCTCTGGGCTCTCGAGGTAAGCCACCATTTTCCTATGTGAAGATGAGACAGATAATTAACAATAGACCCTAGCGAGCCGCTCGCATCCTCATCATCGTGTACCGTAACTGCGGAAGGGAGTCCACGACAGCGCAGGTCGAGGCCCTGCCGGGCGATGCCCTGCGAATCACCCTGAAGATGGCACGGCCTTGGACCTTCAAGCCCGGCCAACACATCTACCTGTATATCCCATCCATTGGTTTCTGGATGAGCCACCCCTTCTCCGTCGGGTGGAGCGAGGCCGAGGAATTCCCCGCAAGCGAAAAGGGTATCCCTATGACCCAGCAAGACCTTGCGGGCCTCCAGAGACAACCATTTCCTTGCTGATCCGTCGCCGCACTGGCTTTACCGATAAATTGTTCCAGCGTGCTCAGAGCTCCGCCGGTGGACGGGTAACCTTGCGAGCGTTCGCAGAAGGCCCGTATGGTAGCATTCATACCATGGACTCCTACGGCACGGTCATGCTCTTTGCAGGCGGTGTCGGCATCACACATCAAGTACCATTTGTGCGGCATCTCGTCCAGGGCTTTGCCGAAGGGACCGTGGCGGCCCGTCGCGTTACCTTGGTCTGGATCATCCAGTCCCCCGAACATCTCGAGTGGATCCGGCCCTGGATGACTAGCATTCTGGCGATGGACCGCCGTCGTGAGGTCCTCCGGATCATGCTGTTCATCACGCGCCCGCGCAACACCAAGGAAATCCAGAGTCCCAGCGCTACCGTTCAAATGTTCCCGGGCCGCCCTAATGTTGACACCCTGATCAACATGGAGGTCGAGAACCAGGTCGGAGCAATGGGAGTGCTGGTATGTGGAAACGGAAGCCTGAGCGACGATGTTCGACGGGTCTGCCGCAAGAGACAGGACCAAACGCAGGTGGATTTCATCGAGGAGAGTTTTACCTGGTAAGGTGGCTGGTGGATGGCCGCCTTTTGAGTGAATGCTCACTCGGCCCCCATTCGTGTCTCAGCACATCGACGCTTGGCGGCCGTGTTCCTCGATTATCCACAGCCTACGGACTACCTGTGTGTTGGATCCTCTCGGTGTTTTGTTGGTTGCTATTGGTTTATACTTTTATATAGCTAGGGTAGTATATATAGTTGCTCTTTGTATGGCTTGGCTCTGAAGCTTGCGATTGCACATAACAATCAGTTTTGCATAACTTTATTTGTGCTTATTTGTGCTCGTGTATTTTTCGGTAAGCCAACTGGAGTATTACTAATTTGCATTGTACTCCGTATGTTTCCGCGATGCTTTCTGTTTCCGGTCAGCTTCTTCCCACCCCGTAGGACTACTGGACAGCAGTCAGCACCGATAGTAAGGACTACTACTAGTAAGTAGCGATGCATTTCCTCAGCAACAAATGTAGCAGATTACTAACCTGCGCCTACGAGCATTCCAATGCAACCCCTGTCCTTAATCCTGCCAACTACGAATCACGCAATCCTAATCATAAACTAACCGTACAGTAAGCCGGCATAATAATTATAGTTACCGACCTATCCCCACCCGATAAGAAGAAAAATCCCCGATAGAAACACTTCGATGCAGGAAAAAGTAAGTAGCTTAGAAATCAAACCTCAAGCTCAAGTGGGGCCACGGATGAATCAGCCAAAAATGGCATCATCATGTTTACTAAGGTTACTAGTTAACTCCCCCTCAACCAGTGGACATTGTTAGCTGTTCCATTGCATTAATCATCGTGGAGGAGTAGAGTTATCTGGTCGGTCATGAGCGGGGTTCGTGTAGGGTCTAGAGGCCTATTTAATGCCCGTTGTTGTCGTCGCTCTGCATCTTCTTTTGTATCATCCCCATCATCATCCATTTACTTGCATTCGTTCTTCGGTTCACGGAGTCCTTCTGTTCAGAGTCGAGTGCATTTATTATCCTCTTCTACTTCTTCTTTGTATAGTACAGCTACAGCCGCCACAATGAGCCGCCCCGACATTACCCTGTACACTGCGCAGACTCCCAATGGGATTAAGATTTCCATTGCGCTGGAGGAGCTTGGGTATGCCAAACATCTATCTTCCTTGGATAATCGGCAATTGACTAACCGATAAACCAGTCTGCCCTACAAAGTCGAGAAGATTGACATCACCAAGAACACCCAGAAAGAGCCGTATGCTCCCTAACCCCCTTCCTCACATCAACTCACCACCCACTAAACACCAACATAGATGGTTCCTCGAAATCAACCCCAACGGCCGCATCCCCGCCTTAACCGACACCTTCACGGACGGGTCCAAGATCCGGCTTTTCGAATCCGGCAGCATCCTCACCTACCTGGCGGAACAATACGACAAAGACCACAAGATCTCCTACCCCCAGGGAACCCGCGAATACTACGAACAGAACAGCTGGCTCTACTTCCAGAACGCCGGTGTCGGGCCCATGCAAGGCCAAGCGAACCACTTCCACCGGTACGCGCCCGAGCGCATCGAGTACGGCGTGAACCGCTACATCAACGAGACAAGACGTCTGTACAGTGTGCTGGATGCGCACCTCGCCAAGTCGAAGTCTGGGTATCTTGTTGGTGATCACGTCAGTATTGCGGATATTTCGCATTGGGGATGGGTTGCGGCGGCCGGGTGGGCGGGAATTGATATTGAGGAGTTCCCGAATCTGAAGGCGTGGGAGGAACGCATGGCTGCTAGGGAGGGCGTTGAGAAGGGTAGGCATGTGCCGAGTCCGCATACTATTAAGGAGCTCTTGAAGGATAAGGCCAAGGCGGAGAAGATTGCGGAGGAGTCGAAGGGGTGGATTCAGCAGGGGATGAAGGCGGATGCTAAGCATTAGTTTGTTAGTATTATTTAGTTAGTAATGATGGATATGATTGCTTGATTTTGCATTGATGGGGTTGTGAGATAGTATTGATGGTGAAGTAATCAGACAGTTGTGCTTTAGTTACTGAAAGCTGCATACATCTTTAGCTGGATATTCTGCTTCCCTCCGCCCGCTTAGTCATCACCACGTGCCGGCCTAAAAGCCTTGCCACATCTCCCTTCTCTCGTCGCATCGCATCGCCGTCCTCTCGTCAAGGATCTTGCGGAGAAAGAAAGAAAAAGATTCTCTCTTTTTTGCTCATATTTCTGTCACATTAACAACAGGGATTAATAGTCGTCCATCATGGCCTGGCGCAACCAGGGAATCACCGGGTCCAATAACATCCCTCTGGGCCGGAGACGGTTTGGAGGTGAGGAGGGCCCGGAGGATGAGAGTCGCACCGCGACGCCTGCTTCTATGCCTGGTGCTGGTGATTCGGCCTATAAGCGTGGCAGGAGCCCTGTCCGCGGTGAGTACATACTCTTCTTATCTTTCTTTATATTATACGGCTGCTGATGCTATGGTTAGCTGAACCCCCCGCCGACGGCGTCAAGAAGCGCAAGAAGCGTAACCGTTGGGGCGATGCGCAGGAAAACAAGGCTGCCGGTCTCATGGGTCTGCCGACCATGATTATGGCTAATTTCACCAATGAACAGCTGGAAGCGTATACCCTGCATTTGCGGATTGAGGAGATCAGCCAGAAGTTGAGGATCAATGATGTTGTGCCGGCTGATGGGGATAGGTTCGTCTCTTTCTTCTTCAGTCCGATTCCGTGCTATGGACATGACTAACGGTTCTTAGATCTCCCTCCCCCCCTCCTCAGTACGATAACTTTGGCAGACGTGTAAACACTAGGGAATACCGCTACCGGAAGCGTCTCGAGGATGAGCGCCACAAACTCGTCGAAAAGGCGATGAAGACTATTCCTAACTACCACCCGCCTTCTGACTACAGACGTCCTACTAAGACCCAGGAGAAGGTCTATGTGCCTGTGAATGACTATCCAGAGATTAACTTCAGTATGATAACTAACCCTCTAACTCCTAACCATTGCTGTATTTGTACTCTTCTGCACTCCTTGACTATGCTGTGCTCGAGTCGAGCTTCTGATGAAGACTTCGCCGCCGGGCGTTGTTTATCTCCAGCTCGCTTCTTGCGAACCCTTGCTCTACCTGTTCTTCCTCTTACACCTTCTTGCTCACACTCACCCGCCTGAAAGTAATTTATAAACAGCTTGCACTAACACTTAGCTTTTTGCTGTCTTTTAAAGTTGGCTTACTCATAGGACCTCGTGGTAATACCCTGAAGAAGATGGAGTCGGAGTCTGGTGCCAAGATTGCCATTCGTGGTAAAGGCTCCGTCAAGGAAGGAAAGGGTCGCTCTGATGCCGCTCACGCCAGCAACCAGGAAGAAGATCTTCACTGTTTGATTATGGCAGATACTGAGGAGAAGGTTAACAAGGCGAAGAAGCTGGTGCACAATGTCATTGAGACGGTACGTATCCTTGAGATGTTTGCACAATGAGTACTAGGTGCTAATGGATAACAGGCCGCTTCGATCCCTGAGGGTCAGAACGAGCTCAAGAGGAATCAACTTCGAGAGCTGGCCGCACTCAACGGTACTCTCCGTGATGACGAGAATCAGGCCTGCCAGAACTGTACGTCTTTCTTTCCCCTCTCATTTCGTTTGGGACATAATTAACAACTGCAGGTGGTCAAATCGGACACCGCAAGTACGACTGCCCTGAGCAGCGCAACTTCACCGCCAATATCATCTGTCGCGTCTGTGGTAACGCTGGTCACATGGCCCGTGATTGTCCCGACCGTCAGCGCGGTTCCGACTGGCGCAACAACAACGGTGGCTTCGGTGGCCGCAGGGCTATCGGTGGCGGTGACGCTGTCGACCGTGAGATGGAGGTATGCTTCCTGCAAATTCTCTCAAGTATACAGTACACAGTATTAACATCACTCAGCAACTCATGCAAGAATTGTCTGGTGGCGCGCCCGGCGAAGACGGCCATGTCCCTCGCCGGATCGAGGCTGGCCCCGATCAAAGCTATGATGACCGCGACGTGAAGCCATGGCAGCGCGGACCTCCTCCCAGTGACGTGGCTCCCTGGCAGCAGCGAGGCCGCGATCGCCGTGACGACTACGGCTCCCGCGACCACGGCAGCGCGCCTCCATGGGCTGCACAGGGACGCGGCGGCGGCGGCGGCGGCGGCGACTATGGCTATGGCTCTCACGGTGGTTATGGTGCACCTGGAGCTGCTGCTGCCTCCGCTGCTGCTCCTTGGCAACAGGCTGCTCCCCCGCCGCCCCCTGGCGGACAAGCATCGTATGGATACGGAGCTTATCCTACTTACCCTGGCATGGGTTCTCCTGGCGCTCCTCCGGGTCTGAGTGTTCCACCTCCGCCGCCGGGCATGCCGCCAATGTACTACGGCTCTGGCAGCCCACCCCCTCCGCCTCCTGGCGAGGGTCCCCCGCCTCCGGTATGTGCTATCTATCTAATTGAATCTACCGCTTACTGACATGATGAACAGCCGCCTAGTGACCAGCCTCCCCCGCCTCCTCCTCCCGCTTAGAGGAGATGCGACATAAAAGTGGTTAATATTGATGCAAACGATAGCTAGGGACACCGGTAGTGGATTCCAGCCCGGGTAAATTGATAGTGCACGTAGGACACTGGCAATGATAGTTTTAACAACTCTGTGTAATAGTTAGGTAGTTCCGCATCAAGCGTTCTGCTGTAATTGTTTGCTTCCACTTTCTAATAAACACGAAAACTACTTTTGCATGCAATCTGTCTGTCTGTCTGCACAACGTACGCATGGCTGCCCGTCGGCAAAAAACGTCGCTCGCTAAAGCCAATGACGTTAGGCACTAACTAGTCATGGTCGCTACCGGTAGATTCATGACTAGTAGTAGTCAAAGACTTTTATTCCTCAAAGTCCCTAAATCTCATTAGACAAGAAAGTGGTGGTAATTTCCCATCCGCTTCCCTTTGCTTGCTTTTCTATGATCACCCCAGTTATCACTCAGCTTTCGTGAAGGTTTCCGCAACCGTCGCCGTGACTCGCCGTCGCCGCCGCCAGTCTAGCTAGCTAGCTACTAGCCGGCCGGCCGTTTCTCCACACTTTTTTCCCTTCCTCGAAACGAACTTAACAATTCCCCGGATAGCCAATTAAGATTTCGGCTGAGCTTGTCGCGAAAGACTTTCTCCTCCCGCCGGAGCTGGCAGAGAGCTAGGCTCCTTACGTGTATACTCTTACTCTTACTCTTTATTATCCTGTAGTATATTGAGGCCAGCACAGCCGAGTTCTCAATAGAACCATGCAAGGTCCAACTGCCTCCACCTCCGGCTCCCACAGCGGCGGCGGCGGAGGAGGAGTAGGAGAAACCCTCCCACCGTCATCTTCGCATTCGCGCCGGCCGTGGCAGTCGCAATCGCAATCGCAACATCTCCGCCCGACGAGCAGTATCCGCTCTCAGCACAGTACACACGTCCATCATGACCACAGGTATCAATCATCCGTTGTTGGTAGCGGTGCTGGTAATGCTGCTCCCTCCGGGAATGAGAAGGATGAGAAATGGTACAAAATCCATCTCTTTCGCGGCATGATTCAGGATGTGAAGCGAAGGGCTCCGTTCTATTGGAGTGATTGGACGGATGCGTGGGATTATCGCGTTGTGCCCGCCACGGTGTATATGTATTTTGCTAAGTGGGTGAATCCTGTTTCTTTTCTTTTGGTGTTGGTTGTGTTTATTTGGGATTTGGTTTTGGAGGGAAGAAAGTGTGCTGATTCGGGCTGTGTAGTATTCTCCCTGCGCTGGCTTTCTCGTTGGATATGTTTGAAAAAACCAACCAGAGTTATGGCGTTAATGAGGTCCTGCTTGCGAGTGTGCTGGCTGCTGTGGTGTTTTCGGTCTTTGCGGCGCAGCCGTTGGTTATTGTGGGTGTTACTGGTATGTTTTTCTTTCTCTCTCTCTATATTCCATTTGCTGGTGGATTGTATGTTGATTGGTAAGGTCCTATTACTGTGTTTAATTACACGGTTTATGATATTATCTCGCCCCGGGGAACGAATTATTTGGCATTTATGTGCTGGATTGGGATGTGAGTTTTCTTTCCGCGTTCTCTCTTTGGCAGCTCTCGTACTGATCATTGTAGATGGTCGTTGATTATGCATTGGCTGCTTGCCATAACCAATGCCTGTAATGGTCTCACCTATGTCACCCGCTTCTCCTGCGACATCTTTGGCTTCTACGTCGCCTTCATCTACCTCCAAAAGGGTATTCAGGTCCTCACTAGGCAGTGGGGAACCGCTGGCGAGACTTCCGCGTATCTCAGTATCATGGTCGCCTTGCTGGTGCTTATGAGTGGTTGGATTTGCGGTGAGCTTGGTAACAGCAGTCTCTTCAAGCGGTGGGTTCGCAAGTTTCTGGAGGATTATGGCACTCCCTTGACTATTGTATTCTTTACCGGGTTCGTTCATATCGGCCATATGAGGGATGTCGAGGTAGCAAGGCTGCCCACGAGCAAAGCGTTCTTCCCAACAGAAGAGCGCCCGTGGCTGGTTCATTTCTGGGATATCAATGTCGGCGACGTGTTCCTTGCCATTCCGTTTGCGGTGCTGTTGACTATTCTGTTCTATTTTGACCATAATGGTAAGTCAACATTCAGGATAAAAACATACTCGGTTGACTGACCATATAGTCTCGTCTCTTATCGCCCAAGGAACCGAGTTCCCTCTGCGCAAGCCAGCCGGCTTCCACTGGGACCTCTGGCTGCTGGGAATCACCACCTTCGTGGCCGGACTCCTGGGTATCCCCTTCCCCAACGGTCTCATCCCCCAAGCACCGTTTCACACAGCCGCTCTCTGCGTCACCCGCGACGTCGCCGACGAAGACGACACCAACAAAGGCAAAGCCATTCGCGTCACCGACCACGTCGTCGAGCAACGCGTCAGCAACTTCGCCCAAGGCCTCATGACCCTGGGAACCATGACCGGCCCTCTGCTTATTGTCCTGCACCTAATTCCTCAAGCCGTCCTGGCCGGCCTCTTCTTCATCATGGGCGTTCAAGCTCTTCAAGGCAACGGCATCACCCAGAAACTCATCTTCCTCGCCCAAGACAGCGGCCTCACGCCAGCCTCTAACCCGCTCAAGCGCATCAAACGCCGTCTCTCCATCTGGGTGTTTGTTATTCTGGAGCTGATCGGCTTCGGTGCCACCTTTGCCATTACCCAGACTATTGCTGCCATCGGCTTCCCGGTTATCATTCTGCTGCTTATCCCTGTCCGCTCGTTCTTGTTTCCCTGGTGGTTTACGCAGGAGGAACTGTCCGTTCTGGATGCCCCGACTGCTAGTCCATTCACTATGGAGAGCGTGGGCGGGACCCACGGGCTGAGTGATGCTGCTGCTGCTGCTGCTTCGGGTCGGGATGAGGATCATCGTGATTCGAAGAATGGGGGTGGAGGTAATGGGGTTATGATGCGTCGGGATGAGAGCTCGTCTGAGTCGGCGGTTGAGGATGATTTGGAGAGAGGCGAGGCGTATGAGATGCAGAGGTTGGGTGTGCGGCGGAGGAGCACGACTGGTGGGGTGGAGTAGTTTTATCCCACTAGTCAAGGAAACTGCTGCAGTGCAGGTGATGGGCTAAAAGTATATAATGATTTGGTTTCGGAGATATATATAGTGCGCAGATAATAGATGGTTTAGTATATAATTGGAGACGGGATTTCAAGTGCAGTATCAGACTGACAATATCCTCATTTAGAGTCTTGAAACACCACCCTTTCAGCATCACTATACCCAGCTAAGCCTGACCGTTCTCCACTATGTTACCAACCTTCAGTCTTAAGAAATGCTTATCCACACATAGTATTCTTATCCGCACATATTAGCGCGGACCTCGACTGCCTACCTACCGGAAATATAGTAACCATGAAGTAAGTAGTCATTGCATGTACACCTTGACACCAGTCACCATGTATAATCCCTTTCGCTGGTAGTTTAGTTATCTACGTACTGTACTACCTACTTGTGTATCTCTCTCGGAATTCTATGGATGTCCAGTGAGTAGGCATTTGGTGGGGCGAATTGAGCGACGACCGACCTGGTGGAGGGATATATTTGCCTATTTAGGTTGCTTCTCTTGTCCTGGACTGGAGACTATGCCGTGCTGTTAGTGTAGAGCATTCAGATGATCTGGATGAGATTGTTCTAGATCTGAGTGGGGATTAGATTTGGCTGATTGGATGGGGTTTGAGAAGGTTGATGGGCTTTGCTTTTGGGGAAGGGCTAACTGTCTATGCTGTGCTAGTGTTGTATTTGTGAGTAGTGTATCTGGTTTTACCGGCAGTTTGAGGGGCTCTTTTTCGGTCTAATGAATAGAGATGTGGAGGGTTCTCGTCGAATGCTTCCAGCGTTTTGATAGATGATCCATGTTCATGGAGGATCCCTCTCGTGTATACTTTGCCGGCTGAGGACTATTGATTGGTATCTTAGGCGAATATTCTAGCTGATTGCTAGTGTTTGAGGGAAGCTTGGCCATGCTGATAGGGACCAATATATAAACGAAGTAACCTTGTAGAACAGCCGAGGGAGAGAGTATGACTCGGAAGGTAGATGGCAAT